ACTACCTAAGATTGTAAGGTTTAGGACTGTAAGATTTTACTATGAAAGCATGTGCTTCCCTCTTCTCTAGTCTGATTTAGTTATTCTAGTTTGAATTTTGCAGAAAGTTTGACTGTCTTGTAATCGGAAAAGTGATAAATAGTCCGTCCCAGTGGCAGAGCCCCCCCAGGCCCCTTAAAATATTGAAAATTTTTTTTTGTTTAATTATAAAATAAAAAATTGAAGTATATATGTTAATTATTAAGTAAAAAAAGGCAAATTTAAAGTTAATTGTCAATTATATCGTAATTTATTGCTTAATCTCACATTCTTTTCTTTTATCAATTCAAAATATAACTCTAACATTTTAACACATTTCATAATTAACAATGGACTTTCGATTGTTTTCGTTGGGCCGTTCTTCTACAGTTATGGATTATTGTAATTGTCAATTGTTTTTGGCTTTGGACATTAAATTATTGATTATTTGACTTTTAATTTTCTTAACTGTAATAATTGCTAATTGATTATATTGTTTGATTTCTAATTTATTTGGGCTAGAGGTTTTAGTTTTTTAATTAATTCTTGTCGGTGGTGAGGAAGAATCATTGTTACTTTCAAGTCGTCGGGAGTTTATGCCAATCATCCTTTTTGTCTTGTTTTATACCTATTCCATGGTTATTTGTCAACTTGTCAAACAAATGTTTTAGCATTAGGTTTAAGTTTTATATTTATTCTTATGTTAATCCTATGTTAATCCCCTACAATGCAAATCTAGATTTGTATACTTAATTGGTGCTGTTTTGTTTTATTTTAATTTGCAATTTAATTTATTTATACAGATTACTCAATTTCTAGAAAGGCTTAAGCATTAATGATTTGTTTTAATTAATTTATGAAGCATTTCTTTTTCGGTTTCTATTTACTATTTTATTAGTTATGATTATTTTATTTTATTATTCTTCGAATTTTAAGATTTGGGTATTTTGCATATTCAGTTGTAAGATTCGAATAATTACATTACAAGAAGTTAATTTTATCTGTTTTTATATTTTATCATTGCTGTATTATTGTTTTTTCATTATTTTTAGTTTTTTTATTTGTATTTATATATTATCTTAATAATAAGAAATTATGGACGCTATAACCCATTTAACTTGAAAGAAAATTTTTTTGTAATTTATAATTGTGCCCCCTTCTAGGCTTAGATCCTGGCTACGCTGCTGGTCCGTCCTCATACTGTAATACTGTAAACCAGAGGTAGAATGCACATCTTATAACTATTGATGAGGGGCAGGTTCTTATTCCTAGAGTCGCCTTACATCAATGGAACAGTCCGCCCAAATTGTTCCCAAATCCTTGTAAACATAAAATCAAAAAATTCTATTTTTTGGGACGGAAGGAAGTAATTAAATTTTTTTCCTATGGATAATTTTTATTGAATATTTTTAATTAAATTAATTTTTTTTCAATTATGATTTGTTTGTCATAAAAACTTATCAAATTAATTTGTAGTATAAAATTGATGAGTTAGGAGAACTAAAAAGAACCCAAGAAGGAGTAAATAATTTTCCAGTGAACAGAACATACCAAACTATAGGATTATATGGGAACGCGGAAACGAAAAGATCGAAAGGCAGGTGGGAGTCGGGATGCATATATTTACCTTTTTGTCCTCTTCAATGAGTACAGGATGATCGCAGAGGCTGAGATAAAGTTCCTTCAAGGAAGAAGCGGATCGCGATGCGAGAACCAAATTCTGGTAGTCGGACGGCAGGAACTTAACCCAAACGGCGTCGGAACTGGCGACCTTGTTGAAAGAGGAGGAAACTAGTGACCATCTACAGGCATCGAGAGGACTGGTAAAGGAGATGATGGCGGCGAGGCAATCGGTGGGAAGAGCGCAGCAATCCAGCATCTCGGTGTCTATTCGTTGACGGCGTTGACTAGTACCCATTCTCAGTTGAAGCCAAATGCGAGGAGATCGGAGTTCAATAAGGGATATTTGGCCAAAGCTTAGCAGTTAAGTCTTGGAATA